TTTCATGGTAGATTCCAACCAGTAACGTAAGACATTAGTGAGCTCGAAAAAATCATATTTTTTTAGACCCAAATACAACTTAGTTACTAAGTCTGATAAATTATAATGGAATTCTGTGGTATTGATATAGTAACTAGTGATTTTTTTATTTGAAAATGCATATATAAAACCTAAAAAAATTATTTTGTTTACATCCTATACGTGCAAAATTTGATAGGGCTTAGCAAATTATGGGAAGCAGCAAATGAGTACAAGTTCGTAACTAGAAAACATAATTATTTTATCTACTTCTTTATTTACTGTTCTGTGGTTTATGAAAAATAACTGGACTTTAAGAATTTTCTTTAAGTAATAATGTATATTATTCATATTGACAAATGGATACTAAGGTAACAATGAGACTAAGAATGCCATAACAAGATCTTTATTCTCTCAACGTTTCGACTAATACTTTACATTTAATTTCATTGGTTTATTTCTCTATGAGCCATGTCTAAACTAGAGTAACAAAGCAGTAAATCACCTGATGAGAACTTAGTGCTAGTTACATTAAGCAAAGTACTGAGTTGTGCGTATTATAGAAAGGATTAGATATTTTTAATTTCTTCTCTTAAGTTTTTTTATATAACTGAGTAACTTTCTAATTCTTCCGTTTAATTACTTTTGTTAAAAAAGATATAATGATAAATAAAGAATATATGTAGAAATCAAAAATGTTTGCACTTCCTTTAGCCTCGAGTATGCTTTTAGTAAGTCTATTCTCTTCACAATGTTTGTTATCTAAGAATAATTCATGTAGCTTTCAAATATGCATCTTAGAACACAAAAAATACAGATTACAACATCCAAAAGTTACTATAATTTATCTGGCTTTTTAACTAACCTATAAATAGGTTAAAAAAAACATCTTCAATCCAAACACATCGTGCTCCTATGGTAAATTATAGGCTTAAAACAAAACAGATAATTGTATGATGTTGGTTGTAAATGTGTCCAATAGTAATGTCAAGGAGAATTATAGATTTTACTTAAAAATAGAAGGTATGGGAGGGATATGTTAGTGTTGGTTAAATAGGTATAGTGATATGTCATTAATGCAAGAATAAGTTGAAACTTTATATTCTAGCTTGTCTATATCAACAACATGTGTTTCTTATTGGTTGAACAAATTGAAGTTCTTATAAGGAAAGAGACAAAAATTTAAAGTCATCAAGTTGTGACACTGGTAGGTGCAGATTGAGAGTGTATTTAAATATTTCCTTTTTAAATTAAGAAATTCAAACTTAGATAACATGAAAAGTAATGAGCACACTTTGACCCACCCACATCCATTGGGTTAAATGAGGATATCTTGGATAGCTTATTTCCTTATATTGCACCTTTGTATGATGAAAAGAGCAGTTTGGTTACTGATAAGTTCAAAGGGAGATTGAATAATATTTCATCGGTAACAGTGGTTGTAGGAACAGATCACTAGTAACTAACAGCATTTGTTAGAGGAAATTGCATTTGTGGAATAATTATTTGAACTTTATTGGTTCTTAAATAACTTTCAGAAATCTTGCTAACCAGTAGCTTTGATTTATTTGCATTCCAAACCTTAACGTGATATTTCATTTTAAATTATTGATGACTAAAATTGTGTTTAGGGCTTAAGCCATCATAACACTCTTTTTTTTTTGATCAGATAAGAACAGAAGTCAGGGAAACAAAAATTATGTCCAAACTAATCAAACGGCAACTGTTGGAGGTTTGAAATTTACCCTGTTGCAGTGAATATAATAATTCCATGAGCCTTGACTGTCACTTATGCAGTAACTTCATAAAATGGAAACTTTGACTTGCAAGCAGTCTTGTGACTGTGTTTTTCCACTATTTCTTTTCCTTCATGAGGAGTTTTTTTTTTTGTCAAGTGCTCACTTGTGAGTTGTATCTACTGTATAGGTCTAGGTCATAGCCTGGTTTACTAATGCAAGTAGGTGTAAATTAAATTTTAAAAAGAAGGTTGTGGGAAATCAAGAGTTTCACAGAAAGGTATGAAAATAAATTTAAAAAGTAAGAGAAATTATAAAAAAACCATGAGAGCATGATTTATATTTTTCCAGGAGTTGAGTCCTCACCCCACCCGTTTAACTATAAATACAGCTGTAACAAATCTGTATCTGACGTATAAATATTGTGGATACTTAAATATTAACATACCTATATTGGCATAAACTCTGGCTAATGTTAAAAACCATGAAAGCATGATTTATATTTTCTCAAGAGTTGAGTCTTCACCCCACCTGTTTAACTATAAATATAGTTGTAACAAATCTGTATCTGACGTATAAATATTTTGGATACTTAAATATTAACATACTTATATTGGCATAAAATCTTGCTGATGTATGTGGAATATAACTGATAATTAGTTAATACAGTTTATAACCAAAATGTTAACTTTTTATTTTTATTTTAGAAATCATGAAACATCAGTGTATTTTTTGAAAAGATACAGTGCATGATCAGGTTATAACCTTAAACATTTTCAAAGTTCTTTGCATTTCTTGTGTTGCTATGAGTCCTGCCCATTGTTTTCTTATCTCTTTTACCATGAAAGAGGTTCTGCCCTTTCATTTAAACACGATTGAAATCTCTATTTAATATTTTTGTAGTATTCAAGTCCTTTTAACCCACCATTTAGAATCATAAATTAATTCAGGCATGTGAATAATATATTGTGACATTGTACCAAATTTAATATTGAGTATTATAAAGTCGACCAACTTTTTGATGTTTATGTTACAGATTTTGGTATACAAATGATAAAATTTAAAACATAATCTCTGTACTGGGGTCCAGCTCAAAGTGAACAATAATTATTGAAAACTTCTGAAATATTTGCAACACTTCGTGTGTGTGCATTCATAAACAATTACACTCTCACTCATCACATGACAAACATAGATATCCACACACAAAAATAATCTGCTTTTGAACACGAGCATTAATAACAAAGTAATTCAAATCATCACCACTTGGGTACACTAGCTGTAAACTTTGTTTGACCATAAACTAGTTAACCTAGAGATTTCACCTAGTAGCTGAATAAAAGGAATGCAAATCTGCATTTTCAAAATAAAATAAAAAAATTGTATTTCATAAATGTAAAACCATTACAAATAATCTTATTGTACTAGTTAATAGCCCCCCAGTGGCACAGCGGTATGTCTGAGGACTTACAATGCTAGAATCCGGGTTTCGATACCCGTGCTGGGCAGAGTACAGATAGCTTTGTGCTTAATTACAAACAAACAAAACTTGTTAATATTTTTTAATAAAAGGATACCCAGAAGATATTGATTACATTTAATATAGTTAATTCTCAACACATGGGTAGAAATTTGAATTCTGTTTTGTTACATCCACCATTAGTCTCTCTGTAGTTGTCTGATCCATGTTTCGTAAACTTGCTTTATTACCTAGTTACATCCACCATTAGTCTCTCTGTAGTTGGCTGATCCATGTTTCGTAAACTTGCTTTATTACCTAGTTACATCCACCATTAGTCTCTCTGTAGTTGGCTGATCCATGTTTCGTAAACTTGCTTTATTACCTAGTTACATCCACCATTAGTCTCTCTGTAGTTGGCTGATCCATGTTTCGTAAACTTGCTTTATTACCTAGTTACATCCACCATTAGTCTCTCTGTAGTTGGCTGATCCATGTTTCGTAAACTTGCTTTATTACCTAGTTCCGGTCAATTGATGAAGCAACCCAGGCAATGGCATTTGATGGAGTGAATTTCAAAGGACAGAGTTTAAAAATTCGACGACCTCATGATTATCAACCTATGCCAGGCATGTCTGAAACACCCAACATGAATGTTCCAGGTACATAATTATAACTTGCGTGATAGGAAAGTCTAGTTTTGTCAAAGAAATCTATTTTCATTAGTAAAATTGCAATTGTTTACAACTGCAAAGCTGTTTTTTTTTTCGAAATATTGTCCAGTTGTTTAATCTATGACTTGTTTTCGACCTTTAAGATTTCATTGGTGAAATTTATCATTTGAAATCATAGGCCTTTAAGTGTTTATTGAAGCCTCTATAGTCATTTTTTAAGCAAATAATATTTAAGGCTCCATATAAACTCTTAAATCCAATATACACAGTATCTACATCGCCTACATTTTCAAACAAACAACAAAAATTGGGGGGTGTTATAATGTAACGGTCAATCCCACTGTTCATTGGTAAAAGATTAGCCTAAGAGTCTCGTGTTCGAATCCCCGTCCCATCAAAATGCTCGCCCTTTCAGCCGTGGGGGGTGTTATAATGTAACGGTCAATCCCACTGTTCATTGGTAAAAAATTAGCCTAAGTGTTGGCGGTGAGCAGCTTTTCCTCTAGTTTTTTCACCGCTAAATTAGGAACGGCTAGCGCAGATAGCTCTCGTGTAACATTGTGTGTGAAATTCAAAACAAACGACACTTATCTTCCTTCGCGACATTTTAAACCTATTTTGTTTATTAGATTTTTTTTACTACGTAGCAGCTGTGGTCACTTTTTTTTAACTATTGAAAATGACGTAAGTGATTTTTATAACATGAAAATTTGTTTGTCTCGGATATTCGCACAAAGCTACTCAAGGGCTATCTGTGTTAGTTGTCCCTAATGAACTAATAGACCAGGAAGAAAGCAAGTTAGTCATCAGTTCCCACCGCCAACTCTTAGGCTTAGTTTTATATGACCGAATAGTTGAATTTGACAGTCACCCTTATGACGCACTCACGAACTCATAGTGGTAAGAGCGATTTTTTTTCTGTAAGGGGATGCGAACATTGGACCCGCAGATACACAGTCTGGTACGCTACACACTGAGTAAATACGAAATATTGGAAATATTATATAATATTTTATTATAATTACCAGCTGTCCATTAACTTTATTCAAATATCGTGAAGAAAAAACCCATCTAACCAATGAATAAAACACTAATTTTAATACACCATTTATTTTTCTAGTTTTTCATTTTATTTGCTCGCCATATATATATATATGTATATATATTCACATTTGACATTCAGTACAGTTGACCAAACACATTACAGGTTGATAGATATTATTTTGATAATACTTAATAATTTGCTACTTGGGTTATAGGTTTAGATATTTTCTCTTTCATCATAGACTTCATATCACGATGATCCCAAAAAAACTGGTCATTAGATTCCATTATTGAGAGGTATGAGCCCTTTTCGGGGCTAACATGGCGACGTTTCGTCTGAAACCATCTTTCTCCTGGAGCCAATCGAAAGGAACCAGTTTTTTGTTCTCGTTATCGCGAGAGTCGTACGAAACTGGTTTACATCGCCTGGTGTGTTCTTGAATTTCTGCGGGATGATGTTTACTGGAAAAGTGGTCATTTGGTACAAAACGAAAAAAACGGCGCAGAGGGACGATATAGTTGTCTCGCTTCAGTTCCCACCAGTTGGCGCTACTGTGCCAACGGGGTAGCTTCCCTGAACGAGCAAGGACACCAATGTTTCTCTTATGCAATGATTGAGGTTCGTAAATGTGATTATTTTTTAAATCCTGCTCACTACATTCTTCTTGATCTCCTACAAATTCCATCTCAGTGGACGTGTCTGTATCCTCAAAATTAACAAACGTATCATCAAATGGAAGCATCTCTCTTTTCCAGTTATAACCAAAGCCTCTAGGATTATTGGTTGGTGGAGGTTTATAGGATCTGAGATCTGTTAACCAACCCTTACGAGCCAGATGAGCAATGTTCGTTTTTCAGCTGGTTTGGAAACATCTTTAGCAGTAAGCTCCAACAGAAAACGCTCCAAAGCTTCGTCTTCAGAAGAACGAAGAACTATTCTGGGGCTGCTGTTGGCGTATCCCGCAGCTCCATCACTAGTGACCTCTGCTGGTGACTGAGTGCTGTGAGCCAGCAATGGGCTTGATAGCTGTTTGAAATTCCAAAAAGAACTATAGTCATCAGACCAAGTAAATGGATACAAAATATCTGCAGAGACAGAAGTAGGTAAAGATCTCCAAAACTTTTTAACGTGGACATTGGAGTCCAATGCGCGCAGGCTTTGTTCTTCCATGTTTTTCTTGCCTTTGTGGATTGGGGGTAATCGGCCGTTCTTCGCTAAGTTTCCAATATGTCGCTTGACTTGTTTCGATTCCTGGCCTATATGAGCCGCATTATGAATTTCTCCAGCAGTGCTTGCTATCTGTTGATAAAAGAGAAAATAACTTTCTAAAAATCTAATAGATTTATATTTATCAGTCTATTAATAAGTATATCACAAGTGAAATAAAACATTTTATTTTAATAAATCTGGCTGGAAACATCTCATATTACGCCCTTAACAACCGTACGTTTTTACTCCACGTCAGTACATTAAAGGAACCTAAAGAGAATAATGTGTTAATGTAACTAACTTAAATGTATTTTTCGCCCTTAACAACCATACGTTTTTACTCCACGTCAGTACATTGAAGGAACCTAAAGAGAATAATGTGTTAATGTAACTAATTTAGTTTATTTTTCGCCCTTAACAACCATACGTTTTTACTCCACGTCAGTACATTGAAGGAACCTAAAGAGAATAATGTGTTAATGTAACTAATTTAAGTTTATTTTTCGCCCTTAACAACCATACGTTTTTACTCCACGTCAGTACATTGAAGGAACCTAAAGAGAATAATGTGTTAATGTAACTAATTTAGGTGAACCTAATGATATATTTTACCTACGGATAAAAAGCAAATATGTTTAAAAACCTCTTTTTTTTAAAAAACACAACGCAAACTTAGCAAAACGTAGTGTTTTCAAAAAACGAGATTTTAAAACATATTTACTTGTTTATACATAAATAAGAATATTAAGAACCTAAAACCTATTCGATCTTTTGGAGTGAAGATGTCCATTATTTGGGTTGAATGATTTTTATTTCGGTACAGGAATCGGTTCATTCGTATTCTGCTCTCTCGTCTATTATCAATATTTAGGTTTAATTTCTCAAACATCTATTAATCTCATAAAATATCGGGAAACTTTACATAGACTGAGTGACGCCACCATACGAACTTTGGGCGAACTACTATAGTTCAACGATGATCAGTGTATATAACAACAGTGTTCACAATACTGAGCATATCTAACTAACTGACGAGTTATATGTCACCGTGAACCTAGTGGTTAGCGTACTTGAATCGTAAGTCCAAGGATTCTTGGTTAACTTCTCGTTACATCAAAACGCGCTCAACACTTTAGGACCGTGGATGCGCTATAAGAGTGACAGTCAAACCCAATTATATCGACAGATAAGAGTAGTTCAAGAGTTGGCGGTGGGTGCTGTTCACTAGCTGCCTTCGCCCTGGTTTATCAGCTCAAACTTAGGGACGGCTATGAGGAGAGAAGACTTTGTGTGGCTTTGTGCTATATTCTAAAACAAACAAACATACAATATATATTTTGTCACCGATTAAGACAAAACAGAAAAACTGTTTTTGGTGGTTCTTGAAATCAGAAGTTCTAAGTGCTTTTATGATATTAAACTTCTGAACGAGTATTAATTAGCAAGAAAATTCGATGTTCAGTACGAAGATATTACACTTAACACTTTAATAAATTAATAAGCAATTTCCGTGTTCAGTACGAAGATATTGTACTTAACACTTTAATGAATTAATAAGCACTTTCAATGTTCAATACGAATATATTGTACTTAACACTTTAATGAATTAATAAGCACTTTCAATGTTCACTACGAAGATATTACACTTAACACTTTAAATCAGTAAGCAATTTCAATTTTCAGTATGAAGATATTTTCAATGTTCAATACGAAGATATTGTACTTAATCAGGAAACGTTGTATTTCCACTTCCGCTAAGATATTTTCAATGTTCAATACGAAGATATTGTACTTAATCAGGAAACGTTGTATTTCCACTTCCGCTAAAATATTTTCAATGCTCAATACGAAGATATTGTACTTAATCAGGAAACGTTGTATTTCCACTTCCGCTAAGATATTTTCAATGCTCAATACGAAGATATTGTACTTAATCAGGAAACGTTGTATTTCCACTTCCGCTAAGATATTTTCAATGTTCAATACGAAGATATTATACTTAATCAGGAAACGTTGTATTTCCACTTCCGTATCTTCCATCTGATCTGTACTTTTATGTCACAGATCCATACACAGATCAATATTTATAATGATTACTACACATTTGGCAGTTGTGCAGTGCTGTTAAAATAAGACAAAAACTTTAATACCGGATATCAGAAAGAAAAAAAAAAACGAATACTGAAAGGGGGACTCGTTGTTAATGTACTCGAAGTCCTTAGAAAACAATGAAAAACCCTAATATTCTCAGACACCAGGAATTCAGAAACCTCTCGAAGAAATCGGGTTAATATGAAGTTATTAAAAGTCAAACTGCTTTTCTAAAACACTTTAATTTTTAAAGGCATATTTTTTATGTATTGACAGTGAATACATAATTGCTGGGCCAGTAGTGATTGACGTTTAACGGTATGAAATTCCAACATCAGAGACATCTGCTGGACGACTTCTGTTCCCGAAGTGTTTCGTAAAAGTACTGTTAGGGAACTATTTTCCGCAGTAGCGGAATAATTCTCAATTCTTATAATAAATTAATCTAATACAACAATGGCGACATCTTGTGAATGGCTTCAGCTTGCATTATTATTAGATTTTTTTTTTTTAAATGGGATGGGTAAGCTTCAATGGAACGCATTGTATACTCATGTATCGTGTTACTTTATATATCAGCTGAAAGTATCAGATGTCTAGGCTTAGTACATTGAATACGTTTTATTGATAGCGCGTTTAGTTCTACGACTTAATGTACTGTATTACTATTGAAGTACCGAAAGAAGCGTGAGAATTTAAGTTCCTGTTTCTCTTAGTTAATTAGCGTTAATTAGGACACAAAAGTAGGCTCCAGTGTTCTGTAAAAAGAAATGCTTTCTCGTATCGAGGATGAAAAGCAGAGCTGATAAATGGACCAGAGTGATTTGTTTCCAACTTCCTGTTCTGAAAGAAAGAAGAAAAAAAAGACGAACTTTGTATTACCTACTTTGCTCACAGACCGATACAGCGTTTATTTAATCTGCCGGGAAAACGTCTAATTATCTAATATCAGTAGCACTGAAGACAAAACATGGGATTATTATGTATGTGAAAATGGAAGATTTCGAAGAGTTGAAACGGCTACTCAGGGATTACTTAGAGACTCCATCGCTTAGAGATTATAACTTACAGACTTTTTAAACGTAATGGAGTAAATAAAAAATCATAAACGGAATAAGAGGATATTAAAGTGAGAGAGAAATGAGAAAGACGTGGATGAATATATCCACATTTTATATCCAGATAATTAAAGATAATATCATATTAGATAGATAGCATACCCGAATACTTCAAATGTAAAACGATGAATACTAATGATAAACATTAATAGTTAAAAATACGAAGTCTTGTTTACGTCCTAAACATACACCTGTTCGTATAAAACAGCTAAAACCTCAATTTCAGCGTTGGAATGGACGTACTAAAAGACATCGTCAAGAATTTATATTAACATTGGGCAGTTGTATGCCAAAAACTATCATAATGAGACTGTAAGAACATCGTTATAATAATGACATTGAATAATTCGTAAATTGTGTTATTTTATCTTCGTTGATATACACATTGGAACTGTATTAACAAGCAATTTATATTTTGTGTGTTTATAGCACTACAGAATGTGGATATAGACATATATACAGAATGTGGATATAGACATATATACAGAATGTCTTTACACATTAAAATATGAGAAAGGTACATTCCATCTGCATTGTCCTTTTAGCCAATAGTAAAGTTTGTTTATTTTAGAACAAAGCCACATTGGGCTATCTGCTGTGTCCACCGCGAGGAATTGTCTGTAAAGTTACCACTGTCCCCCAATAGTAAAGCGACGAAAGGCGTGTGTCTCTGTGTTTAAAATACAACAGTAGAAATGGGAACGGAATAACAAAAAGTCAGTAATTGGAGTGACACAAAAGTCAGTAATTGGAGTGACACAAAAGTCAGTAATTGGAGTGACACAAAAGTCAGTAATTGGAGTGACACAAAGTCAGTAATTGGAGTGACACACAAAGTCAGTAATTGGAGTGATACAAAGTCAGTAATTGGAGTGACACACAAAGTCGGTAATTGGAGTGACACAAAGTCAGTAATTGGAGTGACACAAAAGTCAGTAATTGGAGTGACACAAAAGTCAGTGATTGTAGTGACACACAAAGTCAGTAATTGGAGTGACACACAAAGTCAGTAATTTGAGTGACACACAAAGTCAGTAATTGGAGGGACACACAAAGTCAGTAATTGGAGTGATACAAAGTCAGTAATTAGAGTGACACAAAAGTCAGTAATTGGAGTAACCCCAAAGTCAGTAATTGGAGTGACACACAAAGTCAGTAATTGGAGTGACACACAAAGTCAGTAATTGGAGTGACACAAAATCCAGTGGACAGAATGACACAAGTGATACAAAATTCAGAAGCAGAGGTCTTACAAGCTCCATTATAAGATGGTACCAAAATCAGTAGGGGGTGACAAAAATCGGTAGTAAGATAACGCAAAAGCAAGGATGACCGCAACTCAGTACCGGTTCCTTTTGGTATACCAAATGGAGGAGTACCATTTGTTCTTTTGGAAATCGGTATCAGGTGACTTTATGTTGGATTTGAATAGAGCACTAAAATGAACCGGTTGACTTGCAAAAAACTTGATACTCGATACAACATGAGACAAGGTAAGTACTTGTAGTTCTTTGAAGAGAATTTTAACTACTTGACAAAAACTAGTAATGGAATAGGAGCGATACGAATGTTAGTACAAGGGTAATGTATAAGTCAGTAGTAAGAGTCGGACAGTTTCTGAGAAACATTTCTTGTCAGGCTGAATTAGGGGGTCCGAGTAAAGTCAGCCTTCTTCCCCCTCAGGCCTTTTGTGTAACGACGTTCCTAGTTACATACACCTAAGCCAGTAGTTGGAGTGACGCGACAATCATTAGTGAGTCGACCAAGAGTCAGTAAAGGGTCAACAGAAAAGTCAGTAGAAGAGTAATTTCCCCGAAAGGAGGCCTAAGGCCGCCTGGAGGGGCCACCTGTTTTAACCACTTGCACTAGTATACAGTAGTG